GAGATGTTCCGGGATTAATGGAGCGAAACATCAATGAAGGGTGGCTCCCGGCTGATGACCCTGCAGCTACCCGCAATGGCACCGTCGGAGGTGCGGCAAGCAGAAATGCTCAGCAGGCAGTCACTTGCCTGTGCTACCATCATTGACAAAAACAAACAACAGATAGGGTCGACATAGGTAAGATGAAATGCTTGACATTGTATAAAAAGGGAATAAAAGGAGGCTGAGTTACATTGATGCTGAGGTGTTTTTAAGTGGATTTGGTCTTCTAATCATTCATAATGGACAATAGTCCATTCTGTTGGCCTTTCCATGACAAAAGTCATTTGTTCTATAACATACATTTCCTGAACTATTTCTATCCATTCAAGGACTGTTGGACTTGTTGTTTGCTACCTGCTAGTAGTATTTGTAGTAGTTTCCCAAACTGGTCTGATCTCTGTTACCAACCTACCATGTAAGAAAAAATATTACGGCACGCCCAAAACAATATGAACATGAGCAGCAGACATATTACCACACATTCTGCGTCACTTACCATGTTCAAGTTTGTTGCTTTGTGACCTTTTTATTTTTAGGCCTAAACCTTAAAATCTTTTTCCAGGTGAATTCCCTTCACAGGTCTGAGCTTGAGGTTGTAGACTGTAGTGTCCTCCAGATGTTTAACCATCTTCAGTTTATTTTATGTTGGCTTCTTTTTCCCACCTTTTTTTTGTAAAATGTGGAAAGACCCCTTTCCAATTGTAAAGATGAATAAATCCTGAAAATCAATTTTCTGTCAGTATTACCCTTTTATGCTGACCGTCTTTGTTTTATAAGTCATAAGTCATTTTATTAATGTTCCAGTGGAAACTGGAATAATTCTATTATTATGATTATTATTATTATTATTATTAGTATTAGTATTAGTATTATTAATATCATTATTATTGGCATCATCATCATGGAAAGCACTGGACAGCTGAAGATAGACAGAACAGGGGAGGGAGAAAGAGTGTAGCAAAGGGCCACAGGTCAGATTCTAACCCATGGCCATTGCAGCAGGGACTAAACCTTGGTACATTAGGGTGGCTGTGGCTCAGAGGAAGAGCGGGTCGTCCACTAATCGGAAGGTGGTTCAATCCCCCAAGCTGTGAATGTGTATAATACATAGTTTCTGTGATGGACTTTAGCCCATCGCTGAGTGAATGTGTGTGAAAGGGTGAATGCGGCACGTAGTGTAAAAGGGCTTTGAGAAAGGCGCTATACAAGTACAGGTCCATTTACGATTTACATTTGGCACCAGCTCTACCAGGTGAGTTATCCAGGCGTCCTAAGGATATTAATTAATTAATTAATTAAATGAATTTATATCGGCCATCGGATAAAAAAAACTTATTCCAATTATCAAAATGGATAATTGCCAGAGAAATAACTGACCTATCCTACTAATGATATGCTTAATGTTTGCTAACATAGAAGTACAGGCGTATTCTGGATAAAGTACTCTACTATAGGTTTATGTTATCACCATAAGTTTTGAGTTATTCCAGCTCTAAATATTACATAATCCCTGATCCTTGGTTACTGTTACAGTTAGTCCAGATTAAAGATGAAGAGCTCCTCCTCAATAAGAGTTGATGTTATCTGTAGAACAGCTTTACCAGAAAAATAAGGACAGTGACTTTGTTACTGGTAAAGCATATGCATAAAAGCATACTTGAGCATGTGGATACATACGTTCTGTTCTGGTGACACTGTTGTTGTTGCAGAGATCAGTATCTCTCCCTGTTCTTCAGTTCCTCCTGTATGATTGTTGACAGTGGGTGCAAAATGACAGCAAGTCTTGTCATTCTGATGACTGAAACACTTTTTGATATCAAGCGCCGATGTAGCTGTATTGGAGCTTTCTCTGTGTGACATCGCCTCACCCACATTTGTCCAGTTATCCATGTATAATAGGAGAGTTCACCCCCAGAAAAGCATAGTACATCAAGGTGGAAGAAAATATTTTAGGGTGGATTTCTTCCTTTAAGGTCTGTGTGTATTATTTACGGGAACCTACTGTCAGAAATTAAATATAACATTCATGCTGTCATCTTTATCGCCAGACGCTGCGGGTCGCCTTCCATGGAGTCCGCAATGTTGAACCATGTTTCTCCAGAACGGACAAACTAAACCCCAGCTCTAGATGGGGCCTTTCACATTTTTTATTTGATATGCAGTCATCATATCATCGGTGGTGGCTGTGGCTCATAAGGTAGAGCAAGTAGTCCACTAACCGGAAGGTTGGCAGTTTGATCCCCGGCTCCTCTCGCT